GCCCCTAAGTCTCTTTCACAAGTCGACTTCTCTAGGTTGATGTTGTTAAGGCTGTATACATTGACAGTATTTGTTTTTCCAATATTTAGTACGCTGCACTTGCTGGTGTTGAATTTCATTTGCCATTTCTCTGACCACTCTTGCAGTTTATTTAAATCCTCTTGTAGTGCATTTGCATCCTTCCCTGAATTAATCTGCCGTCTTATTTTGGTGTCATCCGCAAACTTGCTTATGTCACTGCTGATCCCAGTATCTAGATCGTTTATGTAGATTATGAACAGGGGTGGGCCCAGTATTGACCCCTGTGGAACCCCACTGGTTACACAGCCGCACTCAGATTTAACACCATTTACGCTGACCCTCTGTGTTCTATCGGTGAGCCATGATTTTATCCAATTTAAAACTTTCCCCTCGATACCATGAGCCTTAACTTTTCTCAGAAGCCTCTGATGCGGTACTCTGTCAAACGATTTGCTAAAGTCATTCTCTACTACCTCGTAGTGGCAAAGTTAAAATAATAATTAATTAACACACACACACACACACACACACACGCGCGCGCGCGCGCGCGCAGTCAGGTTACCAAGATGAGGTACCAGGTGTGTTACGTCATGATACCCAGAGGAAGATTACTAAGATGGTGTAATGGCAGTGTGTTGCGTCATGTGTGGAGGGAGTACCGCCGGGTGGTTGGTATATTAGACGTGTACCTTACTGTTGTTTGTACTACTCAGCGGTGATTGGATCAGCTGATAACAACACACACGATAACACCTTAAGAGGATTGATCCACTGACCTCCCACAGGAATTATTGACTAACAAGGAATAAGATTAAAAATTATGAGGAGAGATTAAGAGGAACAAGTTTAATAACGTCTCACTTGCTCACCTGCCTCAGAAATGTCTCGTACTGATAAAAAAGTTAGGTAATGTTAGAGGTTAATGGCGAGGGACTGTGTCGCAATGTTCTCCAGTATAGCGTGTGATTACCTTAAGATTAACCTCACCCAGCTTATTTCACTTCAAGATTAACCTCCTCCAGCTTATTTCACTTCAAGATTAACTTTCCCAGCTTATTTTACCTTAACATTAACCCCTAGCTTATTTCACCTTACGACAAGTCTTCTCCAGTTTATAACACCTTAAGATAACCTTGCAACAATGTCATGAGTTTCCCGCCACCCGGGAGTTCCCACCAATTCCGAGCCAATAGTGTGAAGGCCTTAGGCCTGTTTTCAACCAATGAGGAAGCCTATGAGGCGTAACGTCATTGAAGTTGTGGCGTCTCTTGTAGACTGACGCGGTTTGAACAGGAGTCTGTGTTGGAATTTTGTGTAGGGAGGTGTGTGACGTCTGTGGTGACAACATGGCAGGTATTTGGGTGTATTCTATTTGGTAAATCCTCAGTTCCCATTTGTTGTGAGATACGTGGTCCCCGTTTAACTAGCTAGGAACATAGGTTTATTATTTTGGAGTGTAACTTTTAAACCCTAATATAAAGTATTCAATAAATACAGTAACCGTTAATAAGAGTCCTAATTCCTAATTAAAGTAGGGACACATATATAATAATCATCATTTGTTACAACCTGCCCTCAGTTTATACCATCTTAAGATTAGCCCACAGCTTATTTAATCTATAACCTAACCTAACCTAAGCTACCCATCCCCACCACAGCAGTTAGCAATAGGGTGCTTAGTCATCAGGTGAAATAAGCTCGGGTCCTAATCTCCAGGTACTCCCAGTGTTATATAATTACACATGAGCTAGAGGCATGAGTCATGTACTTCTACCATAAAGTATTAGTGATCACGCGCCACCATCGTCCAGTGAGCGCTGCTGTGTACACCATCACAAACAAGTACAGTTAGATTATTTTTCTCGATAAAAACAACCACTGAGATAGTTGTGAGCGCCGTGATACGTGGTGAAGTACTGTACCCAGATATATAATATAAGAGAGCATGTTATCAATGAGTGGCGGTGAGGCGGCCAACAGCAGCATCACAACTTATTATAGGTTACAGTAACATATCCGCGGTCCATGTTTTCTGTGTTTGAGTGTGATATAAATAAATAAATAAATAAAATAATATAATGCTACTACTACTAATAATAATAAATAAATAAAGTGTGCACTGTATCCAGCATAAGAAGCTTCGTATGGTTCCCCCCCAAAACTTATCACACACCCGGTAAAACACATCTAGGTCACAGCCTGGTCACCAAATAATGATATAACCATTACATCTACAGCCATGCACGCCCTTTACTTCCAGGTATCCTGTCATTGTGGGAACGGGTAAGTGGTGCCCAGAGTGAGGACGGCGATGGGTGTATGTGTCAGAAGTGTCAGATGGGTGTCATGGCCTCGAAGTGTCATGCTTGTTACCTATATCAACAGTCACGCCTCATGACACGTTCCATCAGCTTATTCCTGGATATTAAGTCTTTCAGGCAACGCATTACAAATATTACATTATTTATAAAAGGATTCTGTCATATTGGTCACCGTCTAATATATGTAATTATTGTTTCTGTGTTATCATTTCTTGTTTGGATGCCTCAGCGAGTCAGTCAGTCATGAAGGCGCACAACTCTGAAGGTAACAAGATGAATCTCGGTGATAATTTCTTTCCTATTTGGTTCCATCTTGTCCACGACCGTCATTTTGTATAACACAGACTATACCCTCCACCCACACACATACACTCCGCATTTGACAAAGTACCGCATCAGAGGCTTCTGAGAAAAATTAAGGCTCATGGTATCGAGGGGAAAGTTTTAAATTGGATAAAATCATGGCTCACCGATAGAACGCAGAGGGTCAGCGTAGATGGTGTTAAATCTGAGTCGGGTCGTGTAACCAGTGGGGTTCCCCAGGGGTCAGTACTAGGCCCACTCTTGTTCATAATCTACATAAACGATCTAGATACTGGGATCAGCAGTGACATAAGCAAGTTTGCGGATGACACCAAAATAGGGCGGCAGATTAATTCAGGGCAGGATGCAAATGTATTACAGGAGGATCTAAATAAACTGCAGGGGTGGTCTGAAAAATGGCAAATGAAATTCAACACCAGCAAGTGCAGTGTACTTAATATTGGAAGAACACATGCTATCAATGTATACAGCCTTAACAACATCAACCTAGAGAAGTCGACTTGTGAAAGAGACCTAGGGGTACTTGTATGCCCGGACCTACGGCCTAGAAAACAGTGCGTTAATGTTCGAAATGAGGCAAACAGAGTATTGGGTTTTATATCTAGAAGTGTAAGTAATAAGAGTGCAGAGGTCTTATTGCAACTATATCCTGCGCTAGTCAGGCCGCACCTCGATTATGCGGTTCAGTTCTGGTGCTCTTATTATAGAATGGATATCAATTCACTAGAGTCGGTGCAGCGAAGAATGACGAAAATGATTCCGGGACTTAGAAACCTTCCAAATCAGGATAGGTTAAAGAAACTAAACTTGCATTCCCTAGAAAGACGAAGAGTGCGGGGAGACATGATAGAAGTATTTAAGTGGGTGAAAGGAATCAATAAAGGGGATATAGATAAAGTTCTTGGAATATCCGAGCAGGATAGGACTCGGAACAACGGATTCAAGTTGGATAAGTTTAGGAGGGAGATAGGAAGGAACTGGTTTACAAAGAGGGTGGTGGACGAGTGGAACAAGCTTAGCAACTTTGTAGTAAGTGCTGGAACGCTGGAAAGTTTCAAAGGGAGGCTGGATAGATTCATGGATGATAGAGAGTGGTAGTAACTCTCGACAGGAGCTGCCATGCACAGGCCAACCGGCCTATTGCAGACTCCTTTTTTTCTTATGTTCTTATGTTCTTACACCCTCCACCCACACCTACACCCTCCACCAACTCACACCCACACAGACCAAGCCAGACACATACACTCCGCCCACACCTACACCCCCACACCCCCACGGTCACACTTTCACCCACACATATATATATATATATATATATATATATATATATATATATATATATATATATATATATATATATATATATATATATATATATATATATATATATATATATATATATATATATTGTCTCAGTACTTCGCGAGCTTCATTGATGTATGTGTGTGTGTGTGTGTGTGTGTGTGTGTGTTCTGTCTTTTATAATTTGTAACGATTGATGAATTAGTGTGATTAATTACTTTGTTTCGCGCTTAAAGACCTGTTGAGTTGTTGAAGCGCAGTAATAACATCATAACGTCAGCGACACATAACCCTTATGATTGTGGTGTGGCGTTAACCTTTGTGTCGTGTTGTGTAGTAGCCGGAAAGTGTTGTGAGGTGTTCCTGTTAGGGTGGCTGCCAGCATTAATGAGATACTTCACCTCCAGCGACAACAACATCGTATATAAGAGCCTGTCTGTCTGCCGCCTCCTCTCCCCTCCTCCTCCATCTCCAGTTTTCCTTAATTTTTGTTCTTTACTGCTGCTAAATGTGTCGCAGTTACATATATGAGTCAGTTGGCTCTTAATGGAAATTCTGGACGTTAGGCTGCGTTTCTCCTGTTTATTTTGGAGACTTACAGACTTTCTGGACATCAACAGTATGTTCAGTCTGAGGTCAAGATTAATTTTAGGTCTACAGATGCGATTGAATTATCTTCTCTTTCGTCGTATAGTTACTGGCGTGTAGAGGACATCAGAATATTAATCCATTGTAAAGATCAAACATTTCCAGTGTAATTCAAATTCAAGACAACTGATCTGTGGTGGTCAAACATTTGTTCAGGTCTTCGATTTGTATATAAACAAAATATTTGGTCGGCGTATTTAAGGTTTTATTTGTAGTTACGTCTGAATAAGATTATTTGGTCTTTCGGTTTTATTACTCATGAACCGGATGATAGACGGAAGGTAAAGATTTATAATAAGGTTAAATTTGGGGTTTGGTGCGAAGATAAAAGATTATACGTGATGTTGAAGATACTGCTTGGGAGTGTAAGTGGTGGAGGCTTACCTGTGTTGTGTTGTGTGATGTGGTGGGAGGTAAGAAGAGACAGGCAGCGTGCGGAAGCCAGGGGGTCCGCAGGGCCACTGCCTCACCTCTGTCAAACAGGGCAGGTGGAGGGGGGGGACAAGGCACCCCCTTACCCCATATCTGGCACTTCTACCCCTTCCACAGTTTCTGGTATATTATAGTTGAAAACACAAGTGACAACAAGTATCTTGCTGAACTCCTCAACATTACCAGACACTTTACTCAAGTACGTAACACAATAGTCATCTTACTAAACAAAATCAAAGTATATTGGGCTTATTCGTGGGGGGTAGGGGAGGGGGTAGGGGGTACCTTCGGGGCTAACAGGGTGGTCCACATGACTGATGATAACGATAAGGTGTTATCAGTTGTGCCGGAGCAGAAGAACGAACACATAGCCGGCTTGTGGAGTATGCAACTGCTTCTGTACCCTCACTGCCTGCACTTTAATGCTGGCCATCACCCACCTCACCTCAGGTATGATCTGATCTCTGACTCTGCCGACATAACAACATGAATAAGATGAACACCCCAACAAGCCTTCAAGTTTCACCGAATCATTATCACTCATGTACAGTATCTATCCAGCCTATATTAGTAACCATGACGGATCTGTCGCAGGAATAATATTATTAGATAACTTGTTTCACTCGTCTGCAACTCTATTTCCGTACCAATGTTTATCTGTTTCCTTCATAATTATAAATGCTTGAAATTTCTATCAACTGTTTAAGAATTCTTTTGAGTCTAACAGTCCAAGTAAGTCATTTATATCACCTCTATTTAACGCCAATGATTCACCTGTGCACCTGGTTCATATCCCACAGTCACCGTCTCTTAGGGAAACCCAGACTGTACAGTACTAAGCTCTCGTCATCAATATTCATTTGGAAGGTTCCAATTGCTCGCCCCAACCCACAACTGACCTGAGATGGTCATGTCAGCCATACATGTCAGCCATGAAATGATAATGCAAACAAATACAAAATTGAAAAACACAGCCAAAAAAAAACGAGAATTTGTCTAGAAATAAAGCCACTTCTCAAACTACAATCAACTGCCTGATCCCTGGGCAGCCGACCACTCTCATCCTTACGTTTTTGCAGATAATTTGTACCGGAAATTTTCCCCCCATACACTCATTATTCTGTCACTTTATGTAACTTGCTGACAAAACCCATGACCCTTTAGGCTTTTACGCCCTTAATGCATGAGTCATGCAGGCAAGCATGAACTACGCATGCTTCCCAGATGGGCGCTGTAAACGCTTCTGCACTTCACCTTGCACAGGATGACAAGGGGGTGCCCAATTAACTAGCCCCCTCGCGGGCAAAGAAAAAAATATATCCTATACTTTTTCCTGTCTAACGTTCGGTTTGACCCTTGTTTTGACCCCATGACCCGGGGTCAGCCACAATAATCTTCCTCAAGATTTACACCAAGTAGGTTAAACAATTCCTGGTACCATAAAAGGTTATATTAAAGGTGAGTTGTGGTGTGTGTGTGTGTGTGTGTGTGTGTGTGTGTGTGTGTGTGTGTGTGTGTGTGTGTGTGTGTGTGTGTGTGTGTGTACGTGTGTGTGTGTGTGTGTGTGTGTGTACGTGTGTGTGTGTGTGTTGTGGTAACGGTAAGTTGACTGTGTGGGTGCGGCTATCACTAGTGGCATTATCATGGGAGGAGTGAACTCAACATTCTTGCAATATGTTGTTTATTATTTTATCTGGTCTGTTGTCACACCTTTACTCTCAGCTGCATTACCACCCTGGACGCCTAGTGCTCCACACATCCATAAATTCATCTCACAGTCCCGTATCATTATTGTCTCTATTAACATACTTGAGTTCTGGCAACACATAATAATCTACGTCATTTAGTGAAGCTTCCCTGTCCTGGGTGTTATTACCACCATATCTAAATAATAATGACAGTATGGTTCACCAAGTGTAATATAAATAGGGGTGTGACACTGTGGGGGTTAGTAGATGGACTGCACTGTACAACACGATAAGTGGGTGTGTATTTGTATGATACCAGGTAGAGTTTCCTCCAAGGGGGAGGGAGGGAAGAGGGAGGCCCCCCTCAAGTGACCTTCAAGGGCGAAAACTATTTCCTCCCTTATCAAACTTACCAATTAAGGTTTAAAAAATAAATGCATCTTGTCAAATTAAGCGGTGGCATATACTGTATATATATATATATATATATATATATATATATATATATATATATATATATATATATATATATATATATATATATATATATATATATATATATATATATATATATGTTTTAAATAATGCAGAACCTTTATATATATTGGTCTATAAAGAGGACATCTGTAGCTACCAGTTATGGCAAACTGGTCTCCCAGAGGTGCTGTAACGATCATCACTCCTGGGGCCAGTGTTAGTACAGGAAAAAACCGGAGTACCCAGAGAAGACCTGCCTTGTTGGGTGGCAATGATGGTGTAGGACCGGGTCACCCAAGCGGGTATGGAATTTGAATAATAGTGGTGAGAAGCAGAGACGATACTCACACCCACGTAACTAATGTATAATTACTATAACACTCAGAATACGTTAATTGATAAGAGCACATTTGTTAGCTACGTCATGCATTTTAACGTCGCCAGGGATGTAATTACCACAATCAATCAATCATGCACTTCAAAATTCGAGTTAAACATTAAAAATCACCAACAGTCATGGTGCTTATAATGAAAGGCATCAGTATACTGTACCTCACAAGACCTGTTGACGTCACGGTCGTAAAATATTGCTCACTCGGGACTAACGATTTAACTTAATGAATCTTGTGAAGTGATGGTGTTACCCTAATGCACTTATCTGTCATTCTATCAACAACTACAATATAATTTATTATAGTTCAGTGATTTGACTCTGTACACGTATGATACATCACTGTAACTGTTGGAAGCATGTCTGGACAAATAAGGTCATGCTGGCGGGTCCTCCTCCACACATACCACACTCTCTTATCAACATAAAAATATAATCTTAGAGCCTGACAAAATAACGTGTGTGTGTGTGTGAGAGAGAGGGGACGGGAACCGGCTGATAACTCTGCGTAAGTCTTAATACTTAAAGAATGCGCCCAGTCACTACAAATCTCACTTAACGACTTAACACATTATATCTCTACAACACAGATGACTTACTTACCCCCCAACCCTTCCCAACTACTTTATAAACGATCAACATTATCATAATTACAGACAACTACGATTGTCTTTGTCGGGTGAAAAGTGAAACGTCTATTTATATGTTACAAGTATTGCCGTAATCATTTGAGGAGTGAAGGCGCAGTTTCCCCAAGCATACAAGGACTGTGGTTCATGTCTCAGCGTGTAACTCATCCTCTGTTCACTATAGACGAAGAATATACAATAAATATGAAGAAGAAAACAATAATAAAAGACGGGAATGCTAGATGATTCCTGTACATTACTCGTACTGGAAGAAACATCAAACAAGAAGAACAACAACAGTCATGACAACAACAGGAAAACAAACGTCACTGAGGGGCGATATGATCGAGCTGTTTAAATGGAAGTCAGGGCTAAACAAAGGAGTCATTACAAAGGAACTCAAACTATCCAATCAGGAGCGAACTCGTAACAATGATTTTCATTAGACAAATTTAGATTTAGGCGCGAAATAGGTAAACATTGGTTTGGAAATAGAGTAGTGGACGAGTGGCACAAGTTACCAAACATCACCATTAACTCGAACACGCTGGATAGCTTCAAACATAGGTTGGATGGATATATGAGCAATAGGGGCTGGGTGTAAACGGGACAGCTCAGTATGGACCAATAGGCTCGCTGCAGTTTCCTCCATTCTTATGTTCTTATGATCCCCCGACAAACCTCAGACAGTAAACACACAACGCCAACAACATAAGCTGTTATTACACCACCAACGCACTCATGACAACACAACACACTAATTTTAAAGAAGAAGAAGAAGGCGTACAGTACAAACTTCCCTCCAAGGTTACATGTTACGTTAACTTGAATCACTTGGGGATTAGACACACAATCTTATTTCACCTGAGATTAACCACCCTAACACTACCTGCTGGGGTTAGGTTAGGTTAAGTTAGTATGGTTTTTTCAGATGAAATAAGCTGGGGTGTCTAACATTTAGGTGATCCGTTAATCTAAGTGTAACATGAGCCAAATAACTTAAAAACAGGATGACTCAACTGTTATAGCGACATGTTCTATGTATAACAAACACCCCCATGGATTAATTTGTTCTTATTATACTTATTATATTATTCCCCACACAAACATGCAGTAAACAATGTTGGTTCACAGACAGATTAAAGAAGAAGGGAAGAAACAACATTAATATCAACTAATACTCAACACTATCAGCTAAAAGTCAACTCTACCAGATAAGAACATAATTTTTCAACGAATACTCAACACTATCAGATATAAATATAACTTATCAACATAATTAGATCAAATGAATTAAGTAAAGAGTCGGGCTGGTGATACCGAGATATACTGTATGTACGAAAGCCTTCCTACTACTGTGTGTGTGTAACGTGACGACGGGGGAATGATCTGTACAGTCGCGGCAGGTCAAACGAGTACCAATCATTATAGGTTCCAATCTCACTCCTACGACTAAAGCTCATGAGGATTAGGACATTAGGTTTAGATTGGGTTATATTATAGGACTGGGGGGGTATTTGGTTTGCCACTTTCATAATGGTTGGTCTAGGTGTCTTCTTATCCCTTCCATCTCATATCAATCGAATCTTTCCCAGCCAATCTCGTCAACTTAGCAAAAAGTTTAAGGGCTCTTTTATCTTAGCCTCTATTAACACCGGGTGTAGGGGTCAGTGCCCTTACTTCACAAATAAAAAGAACTCAAGAAACACTCCCTTGTCAACCTGTGCAAGGTGAAGCGCAAAAGCGTTTACAGCTCCCATCTGGGAAGCATGCGTAGTTCATGCTTGCCTTTATGACTCATGCATTAAGAGCGTAAAAGCCTGAAGGGTCATGGGTTTTGTTAGCAAGTTACATAAAGTGACAGAATGA